TAGATAGATAGATAGATAGATAGATAGATAGATAGATAGATATATACACACACATACACATATACGTGTGTGTGTGTGTGTATATTGCCCTCCCAATTCATGGGGGATCCGTTCCAGACCCCACCACAAATCAGAAAATATATATCAAATATAAAATATATCAAAGCCCATTGGTTTAAATGGGTGTGTGCTCCTGCATGCGGTGCAGCGCGCACACCTCAGGTACACACACCATTTTGTCCTTCCCCACTTGCTGTCTGCAAAGAAGCGAGACTGCGGACTCCAAGAGTGCAAATAGGGAGGGACAAGTGTATATATGTGTGTGTGTGTATGTATGTGTGTGTGTGTATTGTCATCTGAATCACCAGAATTACATCTGCCCCCACAATCAAGGCCTTCTCTCTCTAATCTCAAAGATCTAGAGATCTAGATCTAGAAGTGGTGATCATGTGGCTTTCCAGATGTTTTTGGACTACATCTCCCTGAACTTCTCCTCATTGGCTTTGTTGGCTAGGGCTGCTGGGAGTTGCAATCCAACATCAACCAACTGGCTTCATGATTCTCACCCCTGGTCTAAGGTCTGCTGACTGTTACTTAGTGGTGAGAAGAAGCTAGTCTTGGTTTTTCTTCACCATTTCCCAGCATTTTAGTCCTGTAGCTCAAACATTTAAGTTCTGAATGTATTGCTAAATAGTATCTCCAAAGCAAAGAGAAATCATGCAATAGATGCAAACCACTTCCTCCCCGACAATGTGTTGCCTTCTTCACAATATGGGCATGAAGGAAAAGTTGTTACTGATCTTGAATATGGCAAATTGGATCTTACTGGCCAAAAAACTTTTCTCCTAGGCTGCAACTTTACATACATTTACCAATTGCTATGCAGAGGGGCGGGGTATAAATAAATTATTATTATTATTATTATTCTCCTCCTCCTCCTCCTCCTCCTCCTCCTCCTCCAACATTTTGGGGCCTTTTGCACTATATAATTACAGTGGGCCCTTGATACCTGCTGGGGTTTGGTTCCAGGATGCCTTGTGGATACCAAAATCTGTGGATGCTTAAGTCTCACTATATAAAATATCTTATTAAATTGGTGTCTCTTATAAAAAATGGCAAAATCTAGATTTGCTTTTGGGATTTATTTTTTGGGGAATATTTTCAAGCCGTGGGTCGTGGAATCCATGTATACATAATCTGTGGATAACAAGAGCCAACTATACAGTGCTATGATTCTACTTTAGATGTCATGGCAACATTTCTATGACAATCTGGAATTTGCAGTTTAGGGTGTTAAGAATACTCAGCTAAGCAGATTTAGTGCCTCACCAAACTCCAAATCCCAGGATTCTATGGAGCCCAGGAATGAAAATGGGATCATAGCCCTGGTGGTGCAGTGCTAAGTGCAGATAGTGCAGCCACAATGTTGTAAATTCAATCCCAGGGCTCCAAGTTGACTCAGCCTTCCATCTTTTTGTATGCTGGTAAAGTGAGTACCCAGCTTGTTAAGGGCAACTGGTTTACATCAGGGGTAGGCAATCTAAGGCCCGGGGGCCAGATGTGGCCCCCCAAG